GCATCACACTGTTGACTCATGTTCAACTTGTGGTCTACTAGGACTCTTGGACCCCTTTCACATGTAGTCTTGTTAAGCCAGGTGTTCCCCATCTTATATCTATGCATTTCATTTTTTATTTTTTATTTTGTATTTTTGTATTTTCCCCCCTAAGTGCAGTACTTTATATTTCTCTGGGTTGAAATTCATTTTGTTAGCTTTGGCCCAGCTTTCTATTCTATTAAGGTCATTTTGAATTTCCATCCTGTTTTCTGGGGTATTAATTATTCTTCCTAATTTGGTGTCATCTGCAAATTTGAGAAGCATGCCCCCTATTCTTTCATCCAAGTCATTGATAAAGATGTTGAATAGCACTGGGCCCAGGACAGAACCCTGTGGCACCCCACTGGTCACTTCTCTCCAGGAGGAAGAGGAGCCATTGCTAAGCACCCTTTGGCTTTGGTCAGTCAACCAGTTACTAATCCACCCAGCAGTTGTATTGTCTAGCCCACATTTTACTATCTTCTTTGCAAGAATATCATGGGGGACCTTGTTAAAAGCCTTACTGAAATCAAGATATGCTTTGTCTACTGCAATTCCTTCATCTAGCAAGCTGGTAATTTTATCACGAAAAGAGATCAAATTAGTCTGACATTATTTGTTTTTGAGAAACCCATGTTGAATTTTTGTTATTATGGCATTCCCTTCTAAATGTTCACAGATGCTCTGTTTAATGAACTGTTCTAGAATCTTTCCCGGTATTGATGTCAGACTAACTGGGTGATAGTTGTTCAGATCCTTTTTTCCCCTTTTTGAAGATGGAGACAATGTTTGCCCTCCTCCAGTCTGCTGGGACTTCTCCTGTTCTCCAGGAGTTTTCAAAGATTATTGCCAGTGGCTCTGAGATTACATTTGACAGTTCTTTTACTGTCCTTGGATGTAGTTCATCTGGTCCTGGAGACTTAAATTCATAACCAGGTATTTTTGTACTTTCTCTCAAATACTTGCTGCATTTCCCCTATTGTGTGCTCCATTTTCCTCAGGTTGAACACCCTTTTCCCTTTGTGAGAAGACTGAGAAAAAGAAGATGTTGAGTAGTTCTGCTTTTTCTCTGTCCCCTGTTAGAATTTCTCCATCTTCTCTGCACAATGGCCCTACCATTTCCTTCTTCTTTCTTTTGCTGTGGACATACCAAAAAAAGCCCTTTTTATTGTCCTTAACCCCTCTAGCAAGCCTAAGCTCATTCTGTGCTTTGGCTTTCCTGATATATAAGTACAAAAGCAAGCAAACTTTTAGGAAGGCTAAAATGCCATGAAATGGAACAACAGTTATTGGTATGTGCAAATTCTATTTCAAGGTCAAACACATACATGACAAAAATACAGTTAGTTACTAATCTTTCTTAATGTACATAATATAAAGAGATACAATCACATTTTCAACTGTATAGAATCATTTTTATAAAAATATAATTCAGCAATTTCATACAAGATCCTCTATTTAAATACTTTACCGATTGCTATCAGACAATCCTAGGAGACTGAAATGTTCTACTATATTCTTAATGTTAAATATGTTACTTATGTTATATATGACATTGTTGACAGTGATGGCATTTAAGCTGTTAGAGGATGAGTAACTGAATTGGTCCTGAAAGATAATGTAATGCAGACTGATAATTTTGGTTCCTGAGTGCATATGTAGACACAGAGGTTGCATCTCAGTTTATTGGGGCACCACATTCCTAGCTCTAGGTCTCTGTTATAGGGTTCTTTGGTGCTGATGAGTTGCTGTTTTAATTTTGATAGCTTTCTTTAAGTATTGCTGAGGATCCCGCAGAAAGGTTCAATACTATAATAATCATATAATTTTAAGCTTCCTCCTCCTCCTCCTCCTCCTCCTCCATTGCAGTTTTTTAACAAAGCAAGGCCTAACAGCCCTATTTTCACCACCTACTGGTACCTCCCACAAATTCCTCTACAGACTAATCATTAACTAAGATGGCATTTCCCATATGTCTCCTTGACATTGCATGAGGCCAAACTACATGTTATGCTTAATGAGTATATACACATCTATTTTTAAAAAAAAAAAAAGGTTTAATTAACAGTAACCATAGTAAGTAGGATGTTTTGCCATCCAAATTGTAGGACACAGGGAGAAGAGACTTATTCTTTCCCTGCTCAGTCACAACCTTCCTAAAAATCCTTCCTATTTGGATAGGATTAGTTTTTAAAAGGTGCCAGCATGGCATAGTGGTTTGAGTGTTGGACTAACACTTTGGAGACCATGGTTTGATTCTCTGCTCTGCCATGAAATGCATTGGGTGATGTTGGGCAGGTCACATACTCTTAGCATTGGAAGAAGGCAATGGCAAACCTCCTCTGAACAAATCTTGTCCAGAAAACCACATGATAGGGTTGCCGTAATGTCACCTTAAGTCAGAAATGACTTGAAGGCACACGACAACAACAACATCTTTAAAATGTGTTTGTTTTCTCCCCCTCCCCCACCTGCAAGCTCCATTGCCACTTGGATGTGGGTAGTTTTGGAGGGATCATTGCTGTAAAGGGATAATACACTCTTCTCTTTATGTTGCAATCGTCAAAACAATAATGAGTGATACCCAGCTTGTAAAACAGGCATAGCTACTTGTCACACATTAAGCACAATGTGCAGTTTGGCTTACTTGAAGTCTTTCATGTCATGTAAATTCCTACGTTTTTGTTGTAAAGCAAGGATGGAAATCATGTGGCTTTCCAATGGTGTTGGAAATTCCTCACCATTGGCTATATGGACACATGGTGCTAGAACTTGTAGTCCAATAACATCTGGCAGACCATATGATTCTCACCCTAACTTAAAGTATTAAAATTTCTAAATGAGTTTATTAATTAGAACACATTCAAAGCTTGGCAATTTTAGACAAATATATTATTTAATTAAGACAAATTTAGACAAGGTAATATATTTAATTTGTCTTCCTCCTTTGTTATTATAATGTGGAATTCCTTGTAGTCATTTATTTGTTTATTCATTTTATATTATGCCCTTCTGGTACAAAGACACTCAGGATAGTTTAGAATATTTAAAAGTTACAATTTTGAAAACATAATCCATTATATTCCCCACTCAGCAAATACAACTTTCTTATATTTTTAAAACTATGTAGAAAGTAGAAAAGATCCTAAAGAGTAAAATATACATCTAAGTACTAAAGTTAGAATAATCCAAGCCATTGTATTCCCCATCATCATATATGGCATGCAAGAATTCGACAGTAAAGAAAGCAGACAGAAAGAAAATCAACTTATTTGAGATGTGGTGTTAGAGAAGAGTGCTAAGGATACCATAGACAGCCAAAAGATAAACAAATGGGTCCTTGAACAGATTAAGCTTGCAATGTCCTTGGAAGCCAAAAAGATCAAATTGAGGCTATCATAGGGCCTAAGCAGACTGCCAGAAATAGTGCACATTAAATTGAGGCACTGCCCTGGCTCAGTGCTAGGGAATCATGGGAATTGAAATTTATTGTGGCACCAGAGCTCTCTGACAGATAATAATAATAATAATAATAATAATAATAATAATAATAATAATAATAATAATAATAATAATAATAATAATAATAATTTTTATTTATATCCCACCCCTCTGCCAAGCAATCGGGGTGGCACACAACATATCAAAACATAAGGACAAATAAAATCACTTCAAATCCCCTCCCTCCTTCCCACACCCACCCAACCCCTAAAAACAAACCAAACTAACCGGATTAAATAACAATAAGCAATTAAACAATTAAACAGTTAAACAATTAATCAGTTAAACAATACGCAACATGGATAGTTTATATAAAATCTGTATTTAAAAAGATTTGAATTTGTGCCTGACACTCAAATATAAGGAAGAAGAGTTTCTCCTTTTATATATTTATAATGCATGCTATTTCAGAGCCCAGACTTACCTGGGAACACTCCATTTGCACCTGGGAAGTGGGAAAAGCTAGTGCAGCAAGAGGGCAATGGCATCTAGCAAGGAGGCATTGTGGTTTTTGTGGGGTCCTGACAGTGGCACAAACAGCTGGCCAATTACGATTGGGTTTGGCTGTCTGTAAAGTGCAAGGTTAGCATGCCAATCTGATTAAGTTTTCAGTCAGATCCACCTGCTTCTCATATAATTGTTGTTCTGTGCCTACTCTCACACTCAGCATTCAAGCAGCTTCCCCTCTCTCCCTGTTGCTCAGATTGTGATGCTGGCAGAATGTTGGTCTGTTTGGTCAGCATTTGTGTGGATTGATCAAGATATCCATACTCCCTGTCCCATATCTAAGCCAATCTCTCAGTTATAATCAGTACAAGTTGTGGCATGATTATCCATTGTAAGTGTTTCTGCCATCCTTGGTGAGCTCAGCTGTTCTTCACTATTGAGGGATCCAAAGAGATGTTATTGCTCAATTAGAATTATATTAATCAAGAACTTCTTTAAATGATAAATATTATACAAATAAAAAAACAAATGCTAGAAAGTAACATTTCAGAAATGATACATGTGAACAAATGCTGAAAGCTCTCCATTTATTGTATCTTAGATAACAAATATGAAATGTGCATGACAAGTTTTAACTTACTTAACTTGAGTGTGCAAAGGCACCTTTGAGACTGGTAGCATGAGCTTTCATAGATTTGATCCTACTTCTTCAGCCCACACCTAAGGAAGTAGGCTCAAGTCTATAAAAGCTCATGCTATGAGCTTCTTTCTAGTCTCAAAGGTGCTACACGATCCTTTTGCATACTGATCCATATTAACACAGTTATATCTTTCAGTTGTATCACTTGACTTGAGAATTTTTACAGTGGTACATGATCCCCAGTGTATTGTCAGACCTTTCCCTCCCATTCATTCCAGAGGAGGAAGCTGCTCCATCTATCCATCTATTCCTAAGTTGAATGAATTGGTCAGTCTTTGCACACATGACATCAATATATGCCTCTATATTATCATGCCTGTCCTTTCATTAGTTCCATAGCAGGACTTGGGTGTAACTATTACAAATAATTACAATTAATACTTAGTTGAGACTGGAACCAAATTTGGAATTAACTACTTTTTAAAACAACTTTCTAAGGATCTGTAAGAATCTTGGATCCTTTTGATAATTTTCTACAGTCATCCAAATATTTTTAATATGCTGTGGTGACATTTAAAAATGGGTATAAAATACAAAGAGATTTCATTTACTGCAACATTTTACAAAACTCCAGGAAGAATTGCATCTTTTCAGCCTTTTCTGGATAGAATGAACAATGTTTAAAGAAAAAAACAGCAAATCTAGGTATGAAGTTTAGTAAGCTGACTTTGGGCACTGAAATGATCAAATGCAATACTGGGTGCAGTTCTATATGCTGAATTACATGTGAATAGTTTTCTGGAGTGGATCTTGTTTTTACAGTAAACTTAGTAATGCATAACTAAATTCTCACCATGTTCCAGTCTCTTGAATCTGCCAGTGTGATCCACTGATCATCTTCTTTGGACATCATCCAAAGCTACCTCCTTTTTATATTCTAAATATATTGCATTGTCTTTAACCTATAGTTATCCTTTTCATTTCAGCACCATCCTTGATAGGTATGGTCAGGAAGGACTGGGCTTCCCAAAACAGCATTGCCCTCTCATGGCAAGAGCCTGATTTTCCTAATGGAGCCATTCTGGACTACGAGATCAAGTACTATGAGAAAGTAGGTCTTGGCTAAAATGAAATAAACCCCTCAAACCATCATGTTATTACATTTCCTTCTTTTGTAGATTGATTTGTAATATAGCCTATACATATTTATTAAAATAGTAATAATAAATTACTATTTATTTGGCAATTTAGTAATACAGTTGGTCTTTTATTGTGTTGGGGCCAGTTTATATGACTATTTTCATGACATCAGGGCTGTTCTTATTTTCAGCCTGGTAATAATAAATTACTATTTATATGGCAATTTATTAATACAGTTGGTCTTTTTTTGTGTGTTGGGGCCAATTTATATGGTTATTTTCTTGACATCTGGCCTGTTATTATTTTCAACCTGGTTTTCACACATAGTAAAGTGAGCTCATATACCTTTCTATGTCATTAGCACATGAAATGAGATCTAAATATCTGAAGGAATGTTCACATAACTACTTCACTATACCTAAAGTATATGTGGTCTGGAAGGGATCAAGGGATGTCTACCATGACTAAAGTAGGAATGTGGTAATGTGAATCAGCTGTGCTTCTAACTCCTCTTAATTCTGTTAAGAGAAAATCATTAAAAATATTCAACATCTTGACAATTACATTTATAAATACTAATACATCTTTTTGTAACTTGCTTGCACAGTGCCTTCTTATACAACAAGGGCAAAGAATATAGGCATTCTGTTGAGCATTCTCTGACATTGATTTATCTGAATTTAAAAACTAAATATTATCCCTGCAAGCAAATGATCATTTCCAAATTGTATCTTCCTTGAAAGGAACTAGTGAAACAATTGTCAGAATAGCTGATGCATACAACACAAAACTGAAGTCTAATGACACGTTAAGTGGGGAGTCACTGAAGTCATTTAAACAACCTTCTTTGCTAGGTGATATAGCCACATTTCTAGGTGTGTCATGGGAAGGGGAGTCACATGTTAGCTCCCCAGCCTGGACTCGAGATGGTGTGAGTACCAGACCTCATTCCAGGGCAAGAGAGAAGCTGTGACCTTGTCATATCACCTGCTCCATGCAGTAAGAGTGTTAACCTACATAATAGGCCATGTAAAGTTCAAGTTAACAAATTAGTATGAATACCATGAATTTAATGACTGTCTGTAAAAAGCTGGAGGGACTCAGCCAAGTAGAACTTATTCAGACACCCAAAAGAAATGGGATATGTCTATAGCAGTCAGGAGGAACTAATAGAGCCAGCATTGCCAAAGGAGAAAGAAGACAACTCATCTGCTTGTTGGCCTCAACAGGGTAATCTGCAACAGCTGGTAAAGGATGTGGGTGTAGCAGACTACCTTGGAAATGCTAGCCATGATTTAAAAGGGGAGAGAAACAAGTGGGAGGAGCCAGTGTGGTTTTGCAGGTGAACAGTGTAGGCTGTGAGACCACAGGGCCAGGACGTTCAACAGGCAACCCAGACAAAAGAGGAGACCTAGGAATCATCACCATACTCAGTGAACCTAGAAGGAGCAGGCTGGCCTGCTATTGTGGAGAGCTGTAAATAAGAGACTAAGAACTTTGGTGCCCCAAGAGTAAGGCTTACCTAGGCAGGGGTTCTTTGCCT